GAATGTGGGGGGCTCCGGGGAGGTGGGGGGCGTGGTGGGCAATGTGGGGGGCTCCCGGGCGGTGGGGGGTGCGGTGGGGGAGGTGGGGGGCGTGGTGGGTTCCGGGGTGGTTGGGAGCGTACTCTCACTCTCAGTAGGCTGTTGGGTGGAAGGCGGATAGGGCGGTTGGCTGTCTGGAGAAGCCGCAGACTCTGAGCAGAGCGGGGGCCCGCGGGACACGTGGGCTGCAGTGATAGTGGGGGGCGCGGCCGTAACGCTGGGGGAAGTCACCTCCTCTTCCCCATAGTCGTCATAGTCTGTGTCCCCGATGGGGGTGCAGCCCTTCCCCTTGAAGGCGTAGACGGGCTTGTTGTCCAGGTTGACGCATCGCACGCTTCCCACGTTGGGAGCCATGGCCTTGACATCCAGAACCTCCTTCCACACGTAGACGTTGGTGGGGTTGCTCTGCAGCCAGTGAGTGAAGTAGAGGATCTCGCAGTCGCAGGACCAGGGGTTGCCGTGCAGAAACGTGAACGGCAGCAGGAGGGTCCCGAAGAAGTTCTTGGGGACGGTGCGCAGCCAGTTCCCCTGCAGATAGAGGGTGTCCAGCTGGTCCAGCCCGTCCAGGAGGCCCGGGGGCAGCTCCTTCAGCCTGTTGTCTGCCAGGTCGAGCTTCCTCAGCTGGCGGACGGGCCCCAGCAGCGCCGGCAACAAACTCTTCAGCTTATTGCCGCGCAGGAAGAGCTCGTGGAGGCGGCTGAGGCCGTCCAGGGCGCTGGGGGACAGCGAGGTGAGCTCGTTGAAGGACGCGTCGAGGGTGACGAGGGCCGGCAGCGCTCCCCCCAGCGGGGGCAGGCTGCGCAGCGCGTTGTGGGACACGTCCAGGGTCTCGAGCGCGGGCAGCGGCCCGTCGGCCTGCAGCTGGCTCAGCTGGCTCCGGCTCAGGTGCAGCTGCGCGAGCCGGGCCAGCGACGCCAGCGAGGCCGTGGAGAAGGCGCCCAGGGGGTTGTCGCTCAGGTGCAGGATGGCCGTGGCGGCCGGCAGGTCCGAAGGCGGCGCCTTGAGCCCCAGCTTGTCGCAGTTCACTTCCAGCTGGCTGGTCACGTTGGAGAACTCGCAGATGGCGTTGGGGTGTGCGGGGGGCGGCCGCAGCAGCAGCAGCAGGAGAGGCAGGAGAGACATGGCCTGTTGGGGGGGTGTCAGTGGGGGCCTCCTGGGCCCGGGGCGCTCTACCCACCCCGCCCCCACCCCCCACTTCCGCCCCGGCCTCCAGGACCCCAGCCGGAATCTGAGCTCCCATAAGTGCTGCCCTCCCCCACCCCTGCCCCCCAGAGCCCTCGTCCTCAGCCAGCCCCCAAGTCCCCAAGACCCGCTTACGGGCAGGCGCGGAGACCTCCGACAGGCTGCTTGCTGGGTGCGACTGCGTCCTTCGCTCTTCAGCTCCAGGGAGGGGCTGCCCGGGGCAGGAAGGGCTCGGGAACGGGGAGGAAAGGCCCGTCCGATAGGGACGCCTGCTGCCCTGGAACTGCCTCCCTCTTGGACACGGGCCCTTATCATCTGCTTCCACGACTGCCCCCAGCCCTCCCTGTGGCTCCGTTCTCCCGCTGTCCTGCGGACTGGACCCCTCACCCACTGCCGTTGCCCAGTTTTTAAGCTTCAGGCCATCGTCCGCTTCTGCCTACTGTGCCTTCTTGTGGTCGCCGATATTAGCCCTCTCCTCTCTCTGCCTTTCCCTCCCCCCACTCTAGCAAAGTCCCCGGCGCCCCCACCCCGGCCCCAACCTGCTGGCTCAGTTTGGCCAAGGTCGCCAGTCCCCCCACCGCTCCACACCCAGGGGACGCTTCTTCGTTATGATCTTAGGTGTTTTCTGCAGCCCGCATAGCCACGGGCTCTCCCACCTTGGGGCCGGTGACACTCTCGTCTGGCTGGCCTTTCTCAGTCTTTGTAGATTCCTCTTCGGCCCTTTGCGAGAACTTCACCCCCGGAGTTTGGCCTTTGGCCCTCTTTTCTTTTTTCGATGTTTATCAATTTCTGAGAGACAAAATGCAAGTGGGAAGGGGCACAGAGAGAGGGAGGCCCAGAACCCGAAGCAGCTCCAGGCTCCGAGCTGTCAGCACAGAGCCCTACATGGTGCTTGAACTCGTGAACCCCGAGATCATGACCTGAGCCAAAGTCGGACGCTCAACCAACAGAACCCCCCGGACATCCCCCTCCTTTTCCTGTGCTGCACAGACACCTGGGATCACCCTCATTCTTTTCCTTTTCAACCACACCTACACTCCGGTGACTCAAACCTCTCTCTAGCCCAGACTCTGTCCTGAGACCCGAACCCCTAGGTCCCGCTGCCCTTGGATTCCTTGGATGGCCGTTAAAGTGATCTGTCCAATACTAAGCTAATCCACCTGTCGCCCAACCCGGTGAGTCGTACTGTCATCCACCCGTTTAGCCACTCAGTTGATGCAAACAATCCCTGATGGTCATCAGAACTCTTCCCCTCTCGTCCCCCATCCAACATGTCCCCAAGTCATGCTGATTTTGCCTCCCAGTCTCTCTGAAATCCACTTCTGTCCATCCCCACTGCCACCATCGCTGGTCCGAGGTACCATTTCCTACCCCTCACTGCGGTGGCCTGACCCGGCCTCTCCTTGTCCCGTGCCCCCCTGGAGGGGTCTTTGACGACTGCAGGTGTTGTTCACGTTCCTCCACTGCTCAAAACCCATCCGTGGCTCCTTATAGCTCCTGGGAGGAGGTCTGAGATCCCCAGCGTGGTCCCAGGCTCCTTCGTGGTCTAACCGTCACCCACCTGTCACTGTAGGCACTTTCTTGTGCCCGGACTTCCTTCTCACCCCTTGTCCCCTTCTGCCCAACCTTACTTTTCTGGAATTTCTTCTGGAAAGCCTTTTAAGACTTCCAAGACTTGGGGCACCTGGCTGGCTCCGTTCAGGAGCGTGTGACTCTTGACCTCAGGGTCATGAGTATTCGCACCCCACACTGGGTGCAGAGATGACTTGAAACAGAACAACAGAAACACGGCACACATTTCCCAAGGCCAAGTTCGGTGCCTGTGAGAAAGTCAGCCGCCATGTCTGCCGGTCCTTTTCTAGGGATTAAAATGTCCCGCCTACTGACCCCACGAGGGACATCGTGAAGCCACAGGAGGACATCATAGCCTACTCCTGTCTGCTCAGCCCTGGTGACACTTGAGCCGGATGCAGTTAGTCTCTGGACTTGCTGTTTATCTCATTAGCCTGCTGCCGAAAGCACTTGAAAACACGGAGAAAGTGAGGAGGTCAGCAGCAGGACATGAGGTGGCGAGTCACAGAGAGAGAGACGGTGATGTGCCGTCGGGCCCCTGGGGCGGCTGTGTTTTGCTACATTCGTTCCCGTCAGGGGTTTTAGTTGTGAGCTCAGAAGATGTTCTGGGTAATTTAAAACAAAAAGGAATTTGTTAAAAAACACATTGGCGACTTCCCGGACTGTGGAAGAGTCCCAGGCTGCGGGACCCGGCTGCTCCGCTGCTGCAGGGCGACCCGTCCCTGGAGCCCCCAGCGCTCAGCTGCTGGTCTCATCACTGTGACCGCAGCCCCCGCCCCCGGAATCCCGCACCGCTCCTTGGTGGCACCCGCTTGGGGTGCCGGGCTGGGAGTCAGGGGGACTGGGCCGAGGCCTGCGACCCAGCCGCAAGGGAGTCTGGGAAAGCATGTCAGGCATTGTTCAGCTTCTGTAACAGGCCGAGTTGGCTTCTCCAAAAATTCCTGGATTGAAGGTTTTTGCAGCCATAGAGAACACGGGGTTCGTGTGCTTTGCCACTTACTGAAATGATCCAGTGTTTTACTTTTCACATGTTAATGTTCTGATTCCACCACCCCCAATCTTGCATCTTTGAATGCTTGGTGTTTGTTTTTGTTTTTATTTATTTTTATTTATTTT